GAGAGAGAGAGAGAGAGAGAGAGAGAGAGAGAGAGAGAGTAGCTATCATGGACGGAGAAACCCACCACCATGTCAGACCCCGTCGGCGAGCGCTTCTCTCGGCCGTCACTCCTCCTTCGTCATCGACGGTAGAAGATACCAAGTACAAGGAGGACGACTACAGCGATGACCAGCTCCTCACGGTTCCGGCCGGTTGGATGATAAAGCTGGTGGCGATCCAGGTGGAGCTCATCACCTCCTGCTTCCTCTCCCTCATCGCTCCCTTCCTCTACCTCTACTTCCAGTCCCAAGCCGTCCCCTCCCGCTTCGCCCACGGCGTCACCGCCCTCCTCCGCCGGCTCACCTTCGGCATCCTCGGCGCCGTCTGCGCCATGGTCATCCTCCTCGCCGTTATGGTCGTTTCTGTTCTCCTCGGCGTCGGACTGGCCCGGCTGTGTGTGGAGGAGCCGGTGTTGCTGCGCCAGCCGTTGCACTTCGACTACACCCAGGTCCATCCGAACGCCACGGTGGCTCTGCGAGGCGCATGGCGCAGAGGAAGGGCAGTGCCGGCCGGGCACTCAGTAAGTGTCTCCCTCATGCTCCTCTTGCCGGAATCCGATCACAATCTCCGGATCGGTGTCTTCCAGGTGAATCCAACTCGACAGCCTTGTGAATCGTTGTGGATTTTCCCCCCCAAATATCGGTGAATTTTTCTTCTCAGGTGCATGCCGAGGTCACCTCATCCACTGGGAACGTAATAGCGACGTCCAGCCAGCCATGCATGCTGCGGTTTCAAAGCCATCCTGTGCGACTGATGCGAACGTTCGTGATGGGCTTCCCTCTTCTGCTGGGTATCAGTAGCGAGAGCCAGAGAGTAGCCATAGAGATGCTGGGATACAAGGAAACCAGGACGAGAAGTGAGATGGTGAGGGTGAAGCTGAAACCCAGAGCCGGAACCACTGAGCTGCCACAATTGTATGACGCGGAGGTCTTCATGAAGTCACAGCTGCCATGGGCAAAAGAAGTGGCCCATAACTGGAAGTGGACGTTCTATGTCTGGACTTCGCTTTACATGTACATACTTCTTTTGATCCTGCTGGTTTGCTGCTTCAAGCCATTTGTCATGCCGAGGCTGAGACGCTACGGAGCTGGGGGGCTTGCGGAGGTCAAGAAGGATTCCATGGATGATCACAGAATCGAGAGAGAGATGTCGGATAAAAGGCTTTCCGACGCACTGAGAGCATTGCGTCAGAGGGGCAAAAGGAAGGCGCTGCTGCGACCGGAACTCGTCGAGGGCGCCGCCTCAAGCGTCGCCGGAGGGGAGGCGATGGCGGCGAGCGAGGTTATCGATGACTCTGGGGATTTCGCGGCTTCGGAATCCTCCGAGTGCGTCGGGGGATAGTTTGGCTCAGAGAGATGGATGCAATCCTCAATGCGAGCATGTTTGTATGTGGCCTGTGTGGACTTCATGTTCTCAACCATTGTGAATTGAACCTTTCTCTGTTGTGTTCTGTGATCCTTGAAGAAAGGATGCGTCGCCTTTGAAAGTCTTCGCATGGCTCCGGGATTTCGAATAACAATGATTGAATGTATTAAATACATGGAAGATATGAAACAGTGCTAGATGTACATATTAAATTTTTAATGTTATTAGTGCATATTATGGATTACCGCACGAGGACACGATCCCTGCCACGTCAACCCGAGCCCAGGGAAGATGTAACGTCATGTCGGATGCGCCATCAGAAATCCGGGATAATAGTTGTCCTCTTCTCGCGTTGTCTAGCGCTAAGTCGACCAGTGTTGTCACAACAAGGATCGCTCCGGGAAGCTCGGGATGACACTGCATGATGTCGTCCCGCATATTCTTGACGACGGACGTCCGAAGGTACACTCGCCGCCCAAGGGGTCGATCGCCATGCAAAGATCGTGTACGGTCGACCCCCATGAGCTATGATAAAAACCCCTTGCCAACATTTGACAAGGGGCATCTGAAATATTAATAGACCATTGACTCGTGCTTTGGAGGGGCCTAAGTTGGGATCCCCCCTCCTATCCCGACCTAGGCTCGTGCGTAGGAATCCGGTGGAGATAAAGGCGGACGAGCTCGCGGAAGAGGCGCATCCCCACCAAAATCGAACTCAACCCGATCAGGCAAAACCTTCGTCCCCAAGATGGTCCTGGACATCGCCAATCTGACCAAGCCATACCGACCACGCGGCCACGACTATAGGTTCGCGAAACAAATGTTAAGACATCATTAGTCAAAATTTTAATTATAGAAGTAGAAGTTATGAGGAGAGAATGAAAGAAGAAGACAATAATTGTCTCCCATCGATCTATCCACGTGAATAGACTCTAAAGAAATATGTCCAATATGATTGATCGATTTGATGGCCCATGCAGGTTAAAAAAAAAATTGATCGAGAGATGTGAGCATTTCAGGCAAAAACAGGTCTCCTCCGCCCATGAGGTGGGTCCCTCAGTCTTGTCGTGACAATTCAAGCAGCTCTCTGTAAATCTATGTGTCCCTAGGCCCTCCTCTCAATAGATGGAGCAGAGAAAAGACCAAGATTGTTAGAGGTGGTTGAGGGTTGCCTCCCTATAGAATATTCTATCCTTTTATAACCAGATATAAAAGCTCATTTTTAGCGTAATGAAAGGGAGATCATTTTTCACTACTCGTGACCATACACACCTACATCGGGTTACTAACTTGGACATTAGGGGATTGAGTTGAGAAACCTCTCTCGACTTTGGTGTTCATACAGGTGATATTTCAGGATCTCAATATTTTCACATGGATACATTTTGAATAACCTTACACACATCATGAGTCTAGACCATGTCGAGTTGATTAGGACATCAATAAACTCTTTCCATAACAAGATATAGTTTAAAGCCTTCGATTTTTAAGCATGATGAAAAATCATTTAGTAAAAATATTACGGATAAATGTTCAAATTAATAGGTTGTTTTAATAATATAATTTTCCTTAATAACTTAATTAAAATATTTTCTACGTTATTAAAGCGGATCAAGAGTTTAAATATTTTAAATGATCCTTTCAGTTTGATTTATATCATGTATTTGAATATAATCTCATGTTAAGTCTTATGTATATATCTTTTTAATACTAATAATAATAATCATCATCATCACCAACATTTAAATACTGGTGTCTTCAATTTGAAGCCCACGTCGGCCCAATATTGAGCCTGGATTGGGCCCAAGTTTGCTCGTGAGCTATTCCTCGGTTCCGAACGGCTTCCGAGAAGCCATTGGACCCGTCACCAGGTGACATCGACCTCCGCCCTCTCAGGCCTGCCCCTTCTCTAACGACCACCACCAATGGACCACGGATCGGCCGAAGGTGACGAGGAAGACTGGAGTTTCATCACCAATTCCTTCGCCGCCGTTGCTGCCACCGCCGCCGCCACAAAACCTCCGTCGCAACCTCAACCTCACGACGGTCAAACTGCCCTCGGCTACGAGTCTCCCGGCACCCCCACCGTCGCCGCAGACCCGATCTCCTTCCGCCGCCTCAGCCTCGACAACCCCCCTCCCACCGCCGCCGTGACCAGTCGTTCCTATGCCTTCCCCCAGCCCAACCTCCCTCATCCTATTCCGCCCCTGTCCGACAGAGGCGCCCATGGCCCGCCTCCTTCGGCTCCCCGTCTCTCTGGCTCCCTCTCTGAATTCACCGGCATGGCCGTCCGACATGGCATATTTCGACCCCCTACCCGGGCCCCCGTTCACCCGGGGACGCCACCATCGATCGAATTGAGGCCCCACCCCCTCCGGGAGACTCAGGTTGGGTGCTTCATCCGGACGATCGCCGGATCCACGTCGCAGATCTGGGCGGGAACGGAGAATGGCGTTCGGGTCTGGAACCTTTCCGATGTGTTTGAGGGGTTTGGACGCGGTGGTTTTGCTTCGTGGAAGCCAGGAAGGGGAGATGAGGAGAGCGCGCCGTTCAGGGAGTCATCTTTTACATACCCGACGATCTGCTTGGTGGTTGATTCGGATCGTGGGTTTGTGTGGAGTGGTCACAAGGATGGGAGGATTCGGATTTGGAGAGTGGAGCAGCCTGAGTCAAATAATTCGGCACCAGAGAGAGGAAATCTTGCAGAATGCCTCTCGTGGCAGGCACATCGATCACCTGTTCTCTCGATGGCCATAACTTCACATGGTGACCGTCATTCACAAACCTTCATCTTTCTTGTTCCCTTTTTTTTCTTGCTGACGTGCATTAACCTCTCTTTCCATCAAGAATCAAGAATAACTAGGACTGGCTTTTCATTCACTGATTTGCATCTTTATTGTTTTTATTTTATGACAAAGGTATCCGAGTGGTAATCCAAATGTCTTTACAGTTTTAGTTCCCTTTTGGTGAGCTAGTCATATCTAAGAAGTCGATGGTGGAGTGGTCAATGCGGCCATTCATCTTTTTGTCAGTGTAACTGATGAATGCCTCCTATTGGAGTGACCATAGTAACTTGCTTAACTCTTTGAGGGCATGCCTGTAGTGGAGTGGTCAGTGCTTTGACCTCTCTCCAATTCTGGTTCACTTGTTGTGATGCTCAATTTTGATAATGTTCATGAAATAATATGATTTATGCTAATGTTCATTTATATATTTAGTTATTGTCCCACTTAGTATAGAACTTTTAGTTCCGATGTCTGCCACTAGAACAATCCCAGCTAGGCTCTTATTAATCAAAAAAGTGTTATCAACAATTCAGCATATAATATCTATCATGGAAATTTATCTTGGTAACTGAATTGTATGTAATGTTTATGACCCAGTGTAACCATTAGAAACCACTTCTCCATTGTTCCTCTTTAGCCACGGAGGTCTTTATTTTGACATCGCTCCTGACTCTGTTTCCTATTGTCTCACAGAAATTTCCTTTTAGTGATGGACTTGAATATTATTCTTTGATAAGTGGATGATGCTTTACACCACCACTGATCTTATTGCAGTGGCTCCTCCCATGAGGCCTAATTGTGATAGAATGATGGCAGGTTACCACCAAAGGTGAGGTTAGCTATGGATGAGGCGCATAGCTGCTATTAAACTCATTGCATTTCATTTATTGTAGTGATTAGTGTTGGAGAAAAAAATAAGGAAAAAAACCTTGATATATCTTAAATGTGCCAATCAAAACATATCAATTTCAGTTAGTACACACAAGATGTAGAATACTGTATTAAGACTCATTGGTACCCCTGTTATGCCTGTTGATAAACACTTGGATTGGTACAACATGGGAAATAGAAATTTGGTTGGCATTAGAAATTGTGGTTGTTATTTGTATTGCTACTGCCATTCGGTTGCTAGATCTTTGATGTATTATGTGATTGATGCCTTCTAGGCTTAAAAGAATTAGGAAAATAATAAGATTTTATGATGTTATAGTGGTAAGGTGAGGTGCATAAAACCAAGAATTACAAGACAAAGAAATCATATACTAAGTGAGTCATGTTAGTTGCAATGTCAAAAGGTCAGTGTAACTGGAAATTAGCTGAGATGCTATCGGCATTTAGCTATAGATTTTAAGGGGAAGAGACTGGTGAAAGGTTGTTCTTCATATTGAAAGGCAAGGAAATCAATGTTGAAGGTCTAAGTTTGTGCTGATGGAACTTGTGATGAAGTTTTACTGAATATAACAAAGAAAAGACGTAGATGTCAAATTAGATAATTTTAACAGAGAAGTATCTACAAGCACGAGGCATGAGGCCATGAAATCACATACTTATACAGTTAGATCGCATGACACAACAAGTGACTATCATAAACAAAACATGAAGTTGTGAAGTAGCACATGCTTGGCATTTGACAATTGACTAGGGCCATCTTAGACCATGCTATTACTAATGCAACGAGGGCTGAAATTGAAACATATATTGTCTTTTTATTTTTATTTTTTGGAATGTACTTCTATTACAATTTATTGTCAAAGCTATTCGTTTCTTTTATACATTTGAATTGAACTAGTAGTGTTACTTGCTTCAAATACTTAAGAATGAGGCACTCTATTTAAAATGAATTGTCAAATAAGAGTTTTGGTTTCTTACTGGAAGAAACATTGGGTCGTTAGATGTGTATGATGAATATATAGTTTGACTCAGTTGTGGTGCCAAAAGGAGAATTTTGTTATAATTCGCTAGATTACATGTTGTTGTAGTTGGATCCTGATGTCAGGGAAAATTTTAGTTAGAAGCGATTCTATATTTGGTTAATTTATCGTATTGAATGTTATTGCTGCTTCCATATCCATGGGATGTGAAGAAGGAACTGTAACTTCTATGGCACTTAGCTCTCTGATTCAATTTGAAATAGCTAGCAGAGGTTTTAGATAGTTGATTGCTAAACTATCAATTGACATTTTAAAAGTTGATTTTTTTGTATTCAATCTTCTTTTTAAAATCTTCAGCTAACATTATAAGTTATTGAATTCAAAGATACTAGATTAAGTGTTCACATACTGTTTGGTAGAAAACATTGGCTTTTCTTCAGGAAGAAAATTTATTTTCACAGTTAAGACTTCCAGTAATATCTGTTTGAAACTTGAAAGCTATGCAGCAAAGATTGAAT